AGGCTGGAGTGCAGTTGTGCAATGTCAGCTCGCTGCAACCTCTGCCTCCCGGGTTCAAGTGATTCTCCTGCCTCAGCCTCCCAAGTAGCTGGGACTACAAGCACACCCACTAATTTTTGTATTTTTAGTAGAGACGGAGTTTCACCATGTTGGCCAGGATGGTCTCAATCTCCTCACCTCGTGATCTGCCCACCTCGGCCTCCCAAAGTGCTGGGATTACAGGCGTGAGCCACTGTGCCTGGCCAATTTACTTTAATTTTAAAATGAAGTAATGTGTAAATGACTTTTTTCATAATGGAACTATGAGCAAAAGAATTTTTGCATTTAACAATTGCTGTCTCAGAGTTTTTATAATTAAATCCCTTTACCTAGAGTATAAACAGAATCAGAGCTAATTTTTATTGTGTCTGTATTGATATTGATGGAATGCGTTATGGCATTTCTCACATCCTTTTAAGCATCTCAAATTATACAGGAGTAGTTACTGTCTGTGCTGTTTTTCAAAGTAATCAGCTCTTAAAAAAGCATGTTTCTTGGTCAGGCGCAGTGGCTCACGCCTGTAATCCCAGCACTTTGGGAGGCCAAGGCGGGTGGATCACGAGGTCAGGAGATCGAGATCATCCTGGCTAACACGGTGAAACCCTGTCTCTGCTAAAAAAATACAAAAAATTAGCCGGGCGTGGTGGCGGGCGCCCGTAGTCCCAGCCACTCTGGAGGCTGAGGCAGGAGAATGGCGTGAACCCGGGAGGTGGAGTTTGCAGTGAGCCGAGATCGCGCCACTGCCCTCCAGCCTGGGCGACAGAGCGAGACTCCGTCTAAAAAAAAAAAAAAAAAAAAAAAAAAAAAGGTTTGTTTTGTGTCTTAAAAGATTTTCATTCAGTTCTTTGTCCTTCATTTTTCTCTTTCTTGTCAATGATTTTGCTCTTGAAAGTTGATTCATTACAGCTGCATTCTGCACTGTCTGGGTTTTCTAGTCTGCAGTTTCTCAGACTGGAGCACTGACACCTTGATTGTGCCGCCCCTGAGTGGACTTGAACTGCACTGTCCTATTCCTCATCCATCTAGGACAGCAGCCTTGTGTTCATGCAGATAATGTTGCTTTGTATTGCAAATGATGCCTTTTGGTACACAGGAAACATTTGCCCTGTGTTAGTCCTTGGATGCTGCCCATGTGTTTCATTGGTGATGTTTGACCTTCCAATGAGGGAATAGTGGTTCTCAGCCATAGCTACACGTTGGAATCATCTGGACAGCTGTGTTTAACACTCATGCCTCGGTCCGACCCCACATTCTGGGTCTTTACACATTTTGATGTAATGCGTCTTGGGTGTGGCTTGGACATTGGAATTTTTAAAAGCTTCCTTAGGGATTCTAATGTGCGGTCAAGATTGAGAACCCCAGCCTAGAAGTCTCCTCTGCCTCCCAGATCTTTAAAGTCAAGCTTATTTGCTTGCTTTCTGACATAACTCAGCTCTTCGCCTAACTATACCAACAGATCTCCAGACAGACTGTTGGTCAATAGCCAGTTTTGTACAGATTCATTACTAAAATCTCAACTCATTTCCCCATCTTTAGTATTCACCTCTATGCAGATAACAACAGCTAACACCTATGTGGGATCTCTTATGCAACAGTCACTGCATAAAGTGCCGTAAACACACTAACTCAGCTCTCACCCCAATTCCAGCCCAGTATTTTTCAGTCTCTAGGGCATTTGGTCAGCTGTCATATCCAAGTCAATATGTATAAAGTTTCACGTGCCCTTGTCCATCTGCATCACTTCCCACACTCTTCATAGCATCAAGTAGATAGACCTGGCTCAAATCCCAAATCTACTGTCACTGGAATATGACTTGGACAGGAAACTGCACCTTCATTTTCCTTAGTTGCAAAGTGGTGTATGATGGTCCTAGTAATACCTGCTTCGTAGACTTGTGAGGATTTCTCAAGATCCCCCGTGTAATGTGCATCATCTGTAATGTATAGCAGGCGCTTAACAAATAATACCTGTTGTTATTGTGTAAATATACTTTATATTATCATCATGCTTCCCATTCTACTTCCTTATTTACTCTTTTCCCAGTGCATATTTCGCATTGTAGATGTTTCTCTGAGTCACCCACTCCAGTCTAGTCCTTATCCCCTTAGGCTTCAATTACTGCAACAACTCCTAACTGGGGCTCTTTCCTCCTACCCACCGTTAATTTACTCAACACACTCTGAAAATAATTTCTTAAATAAAACACCACGTGTATGTTATTCTTCTGCTCAAGAACCTGTAAAGGCACTGTTCAGTTCATCATGCCCAAACTCCTCTGCTAGGTTTTAAAAATTCTTATCATAATTTGGCTCCAACCCTTCTGATCAATTTCGTTTCCCATGTACTCCCAGCACTCCTCCTCCACTCTAGGCTAGCTTGGTTCTCTCGGCGTTTTCTGAACACACATGCAGTGCCCATGCCAGCTCTTGCTGCTCTATTCCAGTATAGAATATAAATTCTTCTTTTGCAAGGTGTGGTTCCAATTAAGCTTCCTCCCTATGGCCTTTTCCACTTTGATCTCTACTTATACTCATTTCTTTTTTATAAGATTACTATTACTTTTGTATAACACTAATCTTAACAAATGCTTGCGGGGGTCGGGGGACAGGCAGCCGTGTCATTGAGTGACTGCCGCAGAGTGGTGAGAGCATGCCTCGTCTAACAGAGTAGCTGCAGCTGCCCGCTGGATCCCCAAGGAAATGCAAGCCAGTCATTACAAGATTTCCCAAATAATTTTCAAGAGAATAATCTGGAATTTTTTAATTTGAAATTTAATTTGTAAATGTTGGCAATTAATTTAAAATCTTCAAAAAAGATTATGGGGCAAACAACGGGTATCTATAGGACTAGGTATAGCCCCAGGGGTATAGCTTTGCTCCCTCTGCTTTCTAGTCTATATACCACCTAGTTCAGGACTTAATTATTCTCTAATTGTTTGACATTTTATTTCTGTTTCCCCACTCCACTCCAGCAACCCCACCTTATTCATTTTGGACATCCATTGGTGAACCTAACACAGTATTCACTATGAATAACAACTATTTAGTTCACTCATTTGTTAAAGAAATTTTTAATGAACTTATATGGTATGTAATGAACAAGACTTCCCAGCTTTTGTTTTCTGGTTTCTTTCATCGGTTGGGAAATATTTAGTGGAAATATCCAGTGTTTTTGTCATGGCTCTGTGTCTGATTTCCATATTCATCATCAGTTTTCTATCCCAGCCTGCTGCTTAGTCACCCAGTGACACAAAACCAGATTTTTGTATGGAAAGAGGAACAATTGGCTGGGTGTGGTGGCTCATGCCTGTAATCCCAGCACTTTGGGAGGCCAAGGTGGGTGGATCCCCTGAGGTCGGGAGTTCGAGACCAGCCTGACCAACACGGTGAAACCACGTCCCTACTAAAAATACAAAATTAGCTGGGCGTGGTGGTGCAAGACTGTAGTCCCAGTTACTCAGAAGGCTGAGGCAGGAGAATCGCTTGAACCCAGGAGACGGAGGTTGGGTTAGCCAAGATCATGCCATTGCACTCCAGCCTGGGCAACAAGAGCAAAACTCCGTTTCAAAAAAAAAAAAGAAAAGAAGGAAAGAGAAACAATGTTACTTTTACATTTTATTAGTGATAATTGCCATTGAATAATGTATGAAATATCCTTATATAATCTAGATATTCTCAGTACTTGGCACATGTTAAGAATGCAATAAATGGTCTGGTGCAGTGGCTCACACCAGTGATCCCAGCATTTTGGGAGGCCGAGGCAGGTGGATCACCTAAGGTGGGGAGTTCGAGACCAGCCTGACCAACATGGAGAAACCCTGTCCCTACTAAAAATACAAAATTAGTCGGGCGTAGTGGTGCATGCCTGCAATCCCAGCTACTCGGTAGGTTGAGTCTGGAGAATCACTTGAACCTGGGAGGTAGATGTTGTGGTGAGCTGAGATTGTGCCATTGCACTCCAGCCTGGGCAACAAGAGCAAAACTCCATCTCAAAAAAAAAAAAGAATCCAATAAATATTAATGTTATTTATTCTTTGTGCAACCCAGAGACAGGTGCCTTTTGCAAGTATGTGTTATATTAAGATTTTACCCTGCAATATGAAATTTATGTAATTATGTGTCTAAAGTCATTCTTGATGATAGTGCATATCTAAAAGAAGTTTTGTAGGCCAATCACAGTGGCTCGTGCCTATAATCCCAGCAGTTTGGGAGGCCGAGGTGGGCAGATCACCTAAGGTCAGGAGTTCCAGACCAACCTGGCCAACATGGCGAAACCCTGTCTCTACTAAAAATACAAACATTAGCCACGCATGGTGGCAGGCACCTGTAATCCCAGCTATTTGGGAGGCTGAAACAGGAGAATCGCTTGAATCCGGGAGGCAGAGGGTGCAGTGAGCCAAGATCATGCCACTGCAATCCAGCCTGCCGGGTGACAGAGTGAGACTCCATCTCAAAAAAAAAAAAAAAAAAAGAAGTAGTTTTGTGAGGAGTTTTTGGTTAGGAATTTAGAGTGAATGATTAAAACCTCACTCTTAGTGCCACTTACTTATATACCACATACTTTCCGTTGCAACTTCCTGTCTAATTGCCATTATATCATTTCAGCAGCAAGCAAAGACATTTCATCCTAACAGTTACTACTAGACATGAGTAACTCTGTTTGACTCATATTAGTTTGGACTGAAAAGGGGAAACATACTTGAGAAACACATGGGCACCATTGTAACTATTCAAACAGGATTTTAATTCTCAACCAAAATGCCACAAAGAAGACGTCACTTAAGACCCTGGTTGAGGTTTGTTATATCCTTCAAGTTGCAGAAGTTAATCCTTCAAATGCAGAAGTTAAGACAGTTGCCTCTTTGGACTTGTTGATTGTGATAGCTTTTGTCCATGGTGATGTGATGAACATAAGGATGATGCACAAATCCATATTATCCTCTCTCTGTGGTTTGCTGTAGGTACCCAGCGTGCCAATGCCCGGGCTCCAGCCCCTTACAAGCGGGATTTCGAAGCCAAACTGAGGAACTTTTACAGGAAGTTAGAGACTAAAGGATATGGACAAGGCCCAGGGAAGTTAAAGTAAGTCAAAGCGACACAAACCACATAATGTATAGATGGTGAAAGGAGGGGGCACAGTTGGGCCTCTAGGAAATTGATTGTGATTTGGGATGACTAGCCTTCATTTTAGTCGGCATAATTATTTCGGCATTTGTAAATTATAGGATCATCTAAAACATAGTCCTGGAATGAAACATGATTAACATTTTAAAACAAGTAGTGAAGACACTGCCTTTTCATGTAAAAATAAAGGCAAAATAAAAGGCTGATTTATTTTTTCCCTCTGAAAAGTACCTCTTTGTTGGTGCGTAGTATATTCATTAGCTATAAAGCCATCCCAATGTCCTTCACTACAAGTTTCTGTCTCCTGAACTGACCCGAGTGCAGGAATAGTGCTCAGCTCTGTTCAGTTCTGTGAAACAAGCTTCACAACAGAACGTGTCATGAATGTCGTTTCTGCCTTTCTTCATCTGCCTCCTCCCTTCAAATGGGGAAGCTGAAACATCATCATGTTGTTTGGCCTACAATTGTTTCCATTCCCTACTTACCCTTCTTTCTCTCCCTGCCTTCAACCCTGTCCCACGTCCCCACTGGAGATCACTCTGCCACTGAGAGAGGACAGAGGAGGGAGGGTCTCCACTGGAGCCCCCCTGTGACCCTGGGTGCCTGAGAGAGGGTCCAGAGGCCAGACCAACAGCAGCCCCACGACTCACTGCCCCACCCACAGGAAGGCTTGCTTGGTTAAATTTCACCTTCATTGCCCTAAAAAATCATCAGCCTGCCCAAACACCATACTTCTCTGAGCTTTACTTTTCTCACACTTAATTTACAAAGGTCTAGGATGATCCAGCTGTCATGCATTCAGCCTCCCTATCATCTCTCTGCCTGTTACCATGTCCATGAAGAGCAAATTGGTATCTATGGAAGAATGACTTTCGTTGTCATCATCACAAGTAGATTAACCTACCACACACATCATTCATTTGTATCTCTCCCTTAGGGACCGTCAAGATTCACTTAATTTAACAATTAACTATTGGAAACTCCACTGCTTTGGAGGACATTGAGAATTTTTTTTTTCCTCTTCGTTCTCACAGTCATCTCGCTGGGCACTTAATAATTGAATTCCTTGTCTAAGTGCATTGAGGCTTAAAACATTGCCTCATAGAGTTGTTCTTGCTTTACTTAACAAAACGTGTGTGTGTGTGTGTGGTGTTGTTTTATGATCTTTTTTTTTTTTTCTGGGATAAACTGATTTGACCGTTTACATTTAGGTAGGATTCTTCAGTTGTTCTCACAGGTCATAGGTAGGGTGTTCTATGTACCAATGATTCTCTCATATAACTTTTGCTAATGCTATTAAGAGTTAAAGACAAATGTGTACTTTATTGCAGACAGCAATGATATTAAGTAACATTCTTCTTACCTAGTTAACTGTGGCAAATGGAAATGTTCTAGAAAGATAAGTAAATTATCTTTAATAGTATAGTAATAATCTGTATTTTCCAAATTGTCTCATTATGGACAGGTTAATTATCCGAAGAGATCACTTACTAGAAGATGCTTTTAATCAGATTATGGGCTACTCCAGAAAAGACCTGCAGAGAAATAAGCTATATGTCACCTTCGTCGGGGAGGAAGGGTGAGTAGAACAGAGAAGTGGCCTGTGGAACGTAGGCTGTGGCCGCACGGCGGATGTTTCTCCACGTTGCTGTGGTTGCCTGAAACAGGAAATCCTTCTGGCAGGAAGTGCTGTTCTCATACACTTAAACCTTTGGGTTTTTTTTTTTTTAAAAGGTCTCTTCTGGCTTTTAAATCACTTGACATAGAAATTCTTTAGTAAAAACATGTAGCTTTAGATCATTTTTGAGAACAGAAGCCTAGTTTAGTTTCTTCTCTCCAGACCTCTCTTTCTCTTAAAGAGAAAAAGTAAGGCTTTACGAGGAAAAAACAAAAACAAAAAACAAGGAATTGCATTTATGCAATTGCTTTGTGATCTGTGATCTTATTTTCTGCCCTGCAGGGCTAAGTAGAACGTGCTTCCTCTATTAAATAAGTTCAGTTTCAGAAACATGAATTAGAATCTTGCTGTTCTACCCGGAAGCCTCCACAGAAGTAACTCTTGGGCCTTGGCTCTTATTTCTCTGCCTCCAATTTTTCTCTTCCCTTGGGAGGGCAGCACACCACCGACATTACTACCTAACATAAACAAACATGTCCCGCCTTTCATGATTCTTCCATGAGTGTGCTCATCGAGATAAGGGTTAGGAAATGAAGCTGGGAAGACTCCTACACAGTGTCAGCGTTGCACCCAAATAGACATAACTGTGATTATGCATCACCTTAAAAGAGGCCAGCTGTCATCCCTCCCAGACCCCTTCTTCTTCCTCATTTCAGGTCTGGGTTCAAGTCTCAGCACCTTCTTCATAACTCAGCAGCCACTAGAGGGAATTTTTTAAATACCATACAATTGTCTGGTTGTGTTTTCTGTGGTTCTTGTTGATTTGGATCATTTTAAGGCTATCCTTCTCAGTGGTGCCTTGGAATAAGAGTAGATTCGATTATGGAATCGTATTAGTGATATTGAACAAATTCAGTCATTCACTATACAGTGGATGAAACAGTGACTCCAAACTATAAAATAATTTGCCTGTACTGATGGAACTAGGGAATAGCAAAATCAGGATTCAAATGCAGGCCCTTTGTCTTTCATCTAGTACTGTTGGACTAGCTCTAGGACCTAAGCAATACTCCTGCACTCCAGCCCATCTGAATTTTTTTCCTATCTCTGGACATTTTGCCCATTCCACCTAATGACTGATAACTTCTGCTCTTGTCACATGCACTGCTGTGTAGTCTCCCAGCTATGCCTACATTAAGGTAAAGTAGTATGTGCAAACACACTATGACATGACAAAATTTGTACAGAAGTTTGCCTGAGACCTGAGCCCTTCATTGCTGATGTGCATAAGTGGACTTCTCACTTGTGTTAGTTGGCTTAAAGATGAAGGTGCACAGTTGAAAATGAATGCAAATGTTGTTAGCCTAATCACCGGTATGCATGGGATTCCAAGTATTTCCTTACATAATAAGTCTGGTTTGGATGAGAATACTTTTCCTCCCCCAGAACTCCAGCTGCCTCCCTTCATTGTTGGACCAGAGTTTGTTGAGATCTCAAAGATGTAGGGAAGAGTCTTTGGAAGCACTGATATTTAAGTTTGAATAGAACAGACGTTTATCATGATTGGGTATCCTAAAGCAGTCTCCTCATGGCTTGGACTAATGACATCCGTTCCTAGGAGGAGGTCCAGGGTGAGTGGGGCTTGATGCCTCTGTATTTGATTACATTACATTGATGTCCAAATGCTTCCTGCCTCCATCACCTGTCTCCTTCCTGTGACATCAGAGGGAAAACAAGGGAGAGGATGTTAAGCTGTGAGCTCAGTTAGCAGGAACAATCTCTTAATCTGTTCACTCTGCATATGGTTTATTGAAGCTGGATTTCTGGACTCATGACTTTGTCAGGTCAGTATCATAAATTATTAGATATATACTTTAATTTGCTATTGAGGCACCAAGGATACATATGCTGTTTTTGAGAGATGAAAATAGTAATTGTGCTGGAAAAATAGAAAGCTGAAAAAAAAAAGAAAGAAAGAAACCTTGTGCTACATAAAAGTAAGGAGCTCTTTTAGCCTTTGCCACCTTCTCAAACACATTGACCCTATCACATGAAAATGAATGGCCCTAACTTTTTTTCTGGATTATAGTAAATACCCAAAGGGAAAAGCTACCCAATCTTTCCACTGAACTATAAAAATGGAGCTGGAGGTTTTCTGCTTTTTTGTTTTGTTTTGTTTTGTTTTTTGAGACAGACTCTAACTCTGTTGCCCAGGCTGGAATGAAGTGGTGTGATCTTGGCCCACTGCAGCCTCCGCCTCCTGGGTTCAAGTGATTCTCCTGCCTCAGCCTCCTGAGTAGCTGGAACTACAGGCACATGCCACCATACTCAGCTAATTTGTTTCGTATGGAGGTTTTCTGTTACTGTCCCTTTACCAATTTTAATCCCCTCAAAATGTATCATTTTGTAAGTTCTTCATGTCCAGGTCTAGTAATGAGCATTTAAAAACACACATATCTGGCACCCAGACCTTGGTTTCTAGTACCATTCTTTGATAAAAAGAATCAAGGTTTTTAGAGAAATGGCTGATTCTAACACTAAGCAGGAAATATACAAGATGGAGCCCAAAGCATCTTTTGGTGTCTGCCAGAGATTAAAGAAATCCTCAAAAATCCCAGTCATGGAGGTATGTTGAAAAAACCCAGGAGCCAACTGAAAGAGTTCCCAGTGGACAAAACTGAAATAATTTGAGCAACAAAATAAATACAAGGCTATTGGATTATAAAACAAAGTATAAAATAGATATCCATACTGATATAAATACATGGTTGAGTATGTAAATAAATGAGGAAGAATAGAAAAGTAGAAAAATCTCTTTTGCAAAATATGGAACCAGCCCAAATGCCTGTCAGTGAATGAGTGGATAAAGCCAATGTGGTGTATAGATACACCATGAAATACTACTCAACCATAAAAAGGAAAAAAATAATGACATTCACAGCAACCTGGATGGAATTGGAGACCATTATTCTAAGTGAAGTAACTCAGGAATGGAAAACCAAATATCTTACATTCTCACTCATATATGGGAGCTAAGCAGCTATGAGGATGCAAAAGCATAAGAATGATACGTTGAACTTTTGGGACTTGGGGGAAAAGGTTGGGGGTGGCAAGGGATAGAAGACTAAACATTGGATATAGTATAAACTGCTCAGGTGATAGATGCACCAAAATCTCAGAAATCACCACTAAAGAACTTATTCATATAAGCAGACACCACCTGTTCCCCAAAAATCTATTGAAATAAAAAAAAATTAAAAAAAAAGAATCACTACTCTCAAGGTAGATATCAATTTGTTTAAGGCAAACAGTAGAAAATATGCCCTTCAAAACTGCTGTAGGTCTGGGATAGGCACATGATGTCATTTGGCCCAATTAGACTGAAAGAAACTCTGTTATGTTGTAGTTGGTGAAAGGTTTGACTAAAAGAGAAAAAATCTATTTTGCAGAATATTTCGATACAATAGGCAGAACTCTCTACTCCTTAGGTATGGAATGTGCATAGTGACTTTCTTCCAAATAGTATAGTATGGAAAGAGGGGGAACAAAGTAACTTCACCATAGAGAAACCTGACAAACATTATGGCAGTCAGGTTATCAAGGTCCACATCAATAGCCACGAGTCATGTTGATAATATGTACCCTCGATATGATGCAATGAGGATGGCACTTTACCTCTGTGTTTTTCCTCCCAAACACGTAATGCTAGTCCAACCGTGAGAAAAATACTAGACAAAATCCCAACTGAGAGACATTGTACAAGATACCTTACCAGTACTCTTTAATACTCCCAAGGTCATCAAAGACCAGAGGAGCCTGAGAAACTGTCACAGCCAAGAGGGAGACATGACAATTAAATGTAATGTGGTTTCCTGTATGGGATCATGGAACAGATAACGGACATTAGGTAAAAACTAAGGAAATGTAGATAAAGTATGGATTTTAACTAATAATAGTGTATCAATATTGGTTTATTAATTATAACAAATGTACTATACTGATGTAAGATGTTAATCTGTGTGTGAGGTATACAAGAACTCTCTGTTTTATCTTTATCTTTCTGTAAATCAAAACCTGTTCTAAAACAAAACATTTATTAAAAGAAAACATATAGTCAGGATTCAGGGAAATTTAGGAAATGTTTCTCTGAACAACGTATTTCCTCGTTATCTGATAAATGACAGCCCCCAGGGTAAATTTTGGTAGGTATATACCTCTGTCTGCACTTGAGGTCATTAGAGTAATAAGTGTATATATGGGGTTAATTCTGTGGGAAGTCCAAATTAGTAGTGGCATTGGTATATATAAAGTATGATTTTGTGTTGCTCATGTCAACTATGTTGTCCATGAGGGAATAATACTTTGCAATTCATATTGATATCATTTCAGTGATTATATTTTACCTGTTACCATCAAGGTCTTTATTTACAGTAGATTAGCTAAAGCATAAAGAAGAGGAAGTTTATTTTAAAGAATAATGCATCAACCAGGTGTGGTGGCTCACACTTGTAATCCCAGCACTTTGGGAGGCTGAGGCGGGTGGATCACGAGGTCAGGCGATCGAGATCATCCTGGCTAATACAGTGAAACCCCGTCTGTATTAAAAGTACAAAAAAAATTAGCCAGGCATGGTAGCAGATGCCTATAGTCCCAGCTACTCAGGAGGCTGAGGCAGGAGAATCACTTGAACCCGGGAGGCAGAGTTTGCAGTGAGCTGAGATTGTGCCACTGCACTCCAGCCTGGGCAACAGAGCGAGGCTCCGTCTCAAAAAAAAAAAAAAAAAAAAAAAAAAAATCCTAGAGTCTATAAATACAAATACATTAGTTGGTTAGTTCATCATCAACTAAGAGCACATTTTGTATTATGCTTTGGCTTTTTACAAAAAGTAGGTAGTTTCTAAGCACTATCTTGTAACTAGTGATTTAATTTGGTTAGAGCTAGAGGTTTTGCTTTAGGCATT